TTCCTTCCTTCCTTCCTTCCTTCCTTCCTTCCTTCCTTCCTTCCTTCCTTCCTTTCTTTCTTTCTTTCTTTCTTTCTTTCTTTCTTTCTTTCTTTCTTTCTTTCTTTCTTTCTTTCATGTATATGTATGCTCTATAGACTTTGTGCCAGGAGAGGGCATCAGATCCCATTACAGATGGTTGTGAGCTACCATGCTGGGAATAGAACTCAGGACCTCTGGCAGAACAGCCGGTGCTCCTAACCCCTGAGCCATCTCTCCAGCTCCTTCTTAATTTTTATTTCTTGAATTTTCTTTTTGTGTGTGTGTATGTGTGTGTGTGAGGTATACACATTGCTTAATGGAAAAGAATAAGGGTCCTTTTTAAATCTATTTGCTTTTATCAGTAGTTTGGAAGATCTTGTTTAAGTCTTTTAAGAAGGAAATGAGTTGATCACTAAGTGTCAGATGTTAACCTTTGGTGTGAGCGTATATGTTGGTGGTGGGTGTGGAATTATAGGGACTCACTTGAGGTTTCTGCAATTAGCTTCTTATTCTTAGGAGAACCAGAGGCGGAAAAAATAGTGCTGTGATGAGCCCCGAGGGCACTGTTGAGCTCTGTGCTGCACCATGCTGGGTCATAGAGAGTATGGGCAAGACTCCCTGAGCCTCGCCCTCCCAAACTGTAGACTGTGTCATTTAAGAAGAAGAACTTTGTTATGACATCTCAAAAGTTACCTTGATTCAATGATGGTACCTCACACGTAGTCTAGTTCCTGATGTGTCTAATTGTCGTTAATTTTGATTTTCATTTTTGCAGTACTGAGAATTGAGCACAGGACTTCTTCATTCATGCCAGTGAATATTCATGATGAATATTACATACCATACGCCACAATCCCAGCTACTCTAAATGTTCTTAAAACCATCTTTAAAACTCTTCCCCCAGCTCCAGAATAAAGCCAAGGCTCTGATTCAGCTGTTTTCTCTTTTCTTTTAATTTAGATTCTAGAAACATCTCTTGGCCCTTTATTTTGTTTTTCATGATATTTGAAGCACCCACATCAGTTGACTTATGGAATGACTCTCATCCTACACTTATCTGCTTGCTACCTTATGATAACATCCAGACTAAACTTCTGTCTTGAGGTTTCTATTGCTGTGAAGAGACACCATGACCACGGCTACTCTTATAAAGGGAAACATGTAATAAGGTGGCTTACAGTTTCAGAGGTTCAGTCCATTATCACCAGGGTGGGACATGGTGGTGTGCAGGCAGATATGGTGCTGGAGAAAGACCTGAGAATTCTATATCTTGATCCAAAGGCAACAGAAAGTGAACTGCACGCTGAACTTCAGCATAGGAGACCTCAAAGCCCACTTCCACAGTGACACGCCTCCTCTAACAAGGCCACACCTCCTCTAACAAGGCCACACCTCCCAATAGTGCCACTTCCTATGAACTTATGGGGGCCAATAATATTCAAATTACTATAGCATCTTTGGCAGAATCCACACAGGTGGATGTGGATGTTTCTTAGCCAGCTCAGGAGCTTCTCATAATGTTGACAGGGTGCTGGCAATGCTTACTTAATGAATGGGAAACTTTAGTGCACAGAAGAAAGGACATTAAATATTCTGTGTATTTGATTTTTACACCTCTCATGAGCCCAAAGAAAATGCTTGTCCAGAGAAAAGAGGTAAAAAAGAGTAGCAAGTGTTTTATGATTTATTGATACCTTAAAGTGCTTCCCTTTTAATAGAAGCATGAAAGCGTTTTGTTGTTTATCCCTGTGCTGGATAGTTTTATGTCAACGTGACCCAGGCTAAAGCCATTTGAGAGAAGGGAATCTCAATTGAGAAAATGCCTCCACAAGACTGGGCTGTAGATAAGACCATAGGGCATTTAAAAAAAAAATTAATAATTGATGTGGGGGGGGCGGCGCAGCCCATGGTGGGTGGTGCCATCCCTGGGCTGGTGGTCCTGGGTTCTGTAAGAAAGCAGATTGAACAAGCCATGAGAACAAGCCAGTAAGCAGCACCCCTCCATGGCCTCTGCATCAGCTCCTGCCTCCAGGTTCCTACCCTGTTTGAGTTCCTGTCCTGACTTCCTTCAATGATGAACAGTGATGTGGAAGTGTAAGCCAAATAAACCCTTTCCTTTCCAACTGGCTTTTTGGTCATGGTGTTTCCTTGCAGGAGTAGAAAACTTAACTAAGTCGATCCCTAAATCTATGCAGACTGGTTGAGATTTGTATATATTTTTCTGTACTTGCTACTAGTATTGAATTCATGTCAGTACAGGGAATATGTTAAGACAGCTTTCTATTTATGCTGTTGATGTCAAAGTCTTAAAGTCATAAAATAAGACATTTTTTCTCTCACTTGTTATAAGAATATGGCTTTAATATCTAAGATTAGATATTTAACATTTCTCTCATATCTAGAGACTATTATTCTAGGACAGTTGACTCTGTTTCTAAATGCATTTTCATTGAAAGGTTTTATGTTTATTTAATGGCTATCTGTATTTTTGTCTGCATGTGTGTGTACACACCACGTGCATGTGGTAATCTGAGGAAGCCAGAAGAAAGTATTGGAATTCCTAGAACTGGAGTTAGAGAGGGCTGTGAGCTGCCATGTAAGTTCTGGGAACCAAACTTAGGTCGTCTGCAAGAGCAGCCAATGCTCTTAACCACTAAGCCATCCCTCCAGCCCACACATTCTTTTTTGTTTTGTAACTCCAGCTGGATTACATAAAATGTAGACTATTTTATTTATAGCAGCACAGCCCTCATTTCTGCTTCCAAGGGGGCAAGAATTCTTGGGGTCTTCTTGAGGCTTAACATTTAACTTGAGTCCATGAGTTTCTGTGAAGGTTTGATAATGCAGGGTTTTGACTTTCTTCTCAGGGCATCTTTTATGACCAAAACTGTGCCTTGTGGAAATGAACTTCACAAATTCCTCATCTGGGACACCGCTGGCCAGGAGCGGGTAAGTACACGCTGCTTCTGGCTTTCTAGAGACAAAATGGAGCTAGCCTCTGTATTTTGATAAGTTGTGGTCTTCTGTATTGATCTCCATCTGTTATAAAGAGAAGTTTCCTTGGTGAGGGGTGAGGACTACACTTATCTGTGGGTGTAAACACAAATGTTAAGATTGTTGTTAGGAATTATGCTGGTTTATAACCGTGGTAGTTGTAAGTTGACCTGGGCCAGTAGGTTCTTCTTCAGTGACAGGGTCCTAAGTGGGAGGTGGCCAGGAGATGAGAAGATAAAGAAGAATGTAGGAAAGTTTGGCATCAGGAGGTCTTGCATAAGCTGTGTCTTATGCCAAGCAAGCTTGTTAAGGAGTCCAGCATCTTATATACTATTTTCAGGGGTAAGAAATGGGACAAAGTCCGCAGAAGCTGCCGTACAGTGGGATGAAGTCAACAGGAAGCTTATCAGGCGATGTCGCACAAGGGCACACAGGGTATCTCAAAAGCATTGCAGTCCGAGCACACAGAGGCCTTGGAGACTGATACCCACAGCCCCACACTGTGGGAAGAGCTGGGTTCTCAGGATCTGAAGCCGAAGCCCCCTCAAGGCCTTGGCCTCAGGCCATTATCGGCTCTGCCAAGCGTATTTCTGGTTTTAGAGGAGGAGCTGTGTTCTTTCTCGAACATCAGGGTCTCAGGGAAAGCCTTGATTCAACCCAGCCCTCAACAGTAGTTTCTCCTCCAAGATCCGTTACTTCTCTAGCCCTGGATAGGTGGCTGGGTTTCCGGGACAAGACTTGAGTGGGTCTTAAGTCCAATTAGACAGCTGTTGGGTATTGACAAAGGATGTGCCCCTAGGGAGACCAGCTCCCTCTTTATCCCCCAGGGTACTCTTGAGGAGAGAGAAGTGAGAAGTATGTAGATAGAAATATAGAGGAGAGAGACAAAACATGGGTGGTGATGGCACACACCTTTGATCCTCTGCGGGAGGCAGAGGCAGGCAGATCTCTGTGGGTTCGAGGCCAGCCTGGTCTACAGAGTGAGATCCAGGACAGGCACCAAAACTACACAGAGAAACCCTGTCTCGGAAAAATTTAAAAAAAAAAAAAAAAAAGAAACATATAGCTCAGGAGGGCCTCTCCTGTGTCTACTAAAGGGCTATTAAAGGAACACCAAGGAGTGGAACAAAAGATCTCTCCCCAGCACAGCCTAGTGCAGACCATTCCAGGTACCTGGTGACCATGCATGTGGTCAAGCCGTCCCCTAATGCAGCCCTGCTGGGAAAAGCAAGCTCAGATCTCACTAGGAAGCTTTTGTGGGCTCCACAGTGCATTACTACTGTACCCACAGAGTTAGCATGCCATGCTGGCTCTTGTTGTGGTTCCTAGGCATTTTAGTTAGGTGGGCCTGCTGGCTGCTTCCCTTCCTTGGAAACTTACATGGCACCTTTTGGTATCATGAAAGCTGGTCCTCCGGGAGGAGGCTTTTAGATCAGTTTCGACTCAGGGGCCTCTGGGTCCTGTTTCTGAAGTGCATGATGTCTTCAGCGATGGGACTTCGTTTTCACCTCTGGGGGCGCAACCAAAGGCAAGAGCGATAGCCTGTAATATGTTGGAAGTCTCATAAACAACCCTGACCACCAACTCCTCTGAGGGCTTCTCATGCCTGGTTTTGGTAGATGGTTCTTGTCAGCTCAGATGGAAACATTTCATTTAGACTATTCTATATATTTAGACACCAATTTAAATGTTTTATAGGTATTTTTAGGTAAGTAAAAATATGATTCTGTTATAACTTTTTCATACATATTTACTGGTATTTTATGCCTGCCTTCCTCACCCCTCTCTAGTTAGACCCCGCCCATCATTCCCATTTACGCTATCAGATCACTGTACCCTGCTGTTCCCCTCTCCATTGCTCCCCCACTCCAATCCCCACTCTGGCAACCGATTGTTTTCATTGTGTCCCGGAGGTTTTGTTGGGTGGTGTTTTCATTTAAATTTCATTCCAGAAATTTTTTTTTATTTCTTTCTTGATTCCTTCCTTGATCCAGTCATACATTGCTTGTAGACAACAGATTTTGTTTCTTGGTCCATTCTGTCTGTGTGGTGTTCTGAATGAGAATGGCCACTATCAGCCCATATATTTGAATGTTGGGTTCCCAGTTGGTGGAACTGTGTAGGAAGGATTAGGAGGTGTGGCCTCGTTGGAGGAGGTGTGTCACTGGGGGTGGGCTTTGAGGTTTCCAATGCCCATGCTGGGCCCAGTCTTGCTCTCTTTCTGTCTTCTGCCTGCAGATCAGGATGTAATCCCTCAGCTTTTTCTTAAGTGCCCTGCTTACCTTCCTGCGTCCATGCTTCCTGTTATGATGGTCATGGACTAACCCTCTGGAAATGTCAGCAAATGCTCCCATTATGAGTTGCCTTGGTCATCAAGTCTTTTCACACAATAGAAAAGTAACTAAGACAACCTATTTCTTTTGATTGGAGAATTGAGGCCATTCATATTTAAAGTTTCTATTGAAATGTGTGTGTTAATTGCAGTGATTGTGTTGTTGATTTTGGGTGGCGTTGTTTGTGTTCTCAGTGGTAGTGATTACTGCTTTGTATTTCTTTCCACAGTCTCTTGGATTTGCTCATTTCTTTCTTCAACCTGAAATACTGCTTCCTATATATGTTTTAGGTTTGGTTTGTTGGATATACCTTTTTTTCCCCTAGGCTATTTATATCATGGCAAGTTTTCTTTCTCCTTAAACTATGGTGCATAGTTTTTCTGAGTGTGTTAGACTAGGTTGGCTGGACTGGAATACACTGCTCCAGGCTCTTCTGCCTCTCAGAGTTTCCACTGAGAAACCAGCTATTATTCTGATAGAATTTCCTTATATGCAACTTGTGTTTTTTCTCTTGTGGTTTTCTGGACCCTTCCTTTATTCTGTCTACTTATACCATGAGAATTTTCTGTCTGGTCTTGTCTATTTGGTGTTCTATATCTGTATGAATATATCTTTCCTTTGGTTGGGGACGTTGTCTTCTATGATCTTGTTGATGACCTGGTCTATGCCATTGACTTGGGATTCTTCCTCCTCACTGATGCCTATGATTTGGAGGGTTGGCTTGTACATGATGCCCTATGGCTCCTGTATGCCCTTTTCCTGTGTTTTTAATTTTTCTCATATTCCTCGCTAATTTGGTTCAGATCTTCTACTTCTCTTCTGCTTGTAGGGCTTCCCTTTGGGTTTTCTAGTTGAGTGATTAGGTTTTTCAGTTCCATCTTCGTTCCAGCTTGAGTCTTCTTCAGTGTTTCTGTGTCCTTATTGGATTCTGTTCTCAAGTCCTGGGTTGTCTTCATTTCTATCAGCCTTGCTTGAGTTTCCCTGGGCATCACACAGGCATTTATTCTAAGTTCTAATTTCACTGAGCTGTCTCCATGCCATCTTTAAACTCCTTGAATTCTTTGATGGAGTTTAGGATTGTTCTTTCTAATCCTGTGTTCTGGGTCTCATCTAAGTAATTCCCGTTGGCGAATATCTCTACAGGACTGGTAGGTCATGGGGGAGATCCTGGCTCGATCTTTCGTGTTATTTGTAGCTTTTTTGATGGGATCTGGGCATGTGGACTTCTTTTGTGGGTTCTCTGTCTGATGTGGACAGAACAGGTTGGGACAGAGGATGTGTGAGCTGGTTGGTTGGGCTTGGAGGCTGGAAATGACTGAGGTGGAATTAAACCAGGTGGCCAGAGGGGCCCAGGCTGGTGTGGAGGATATGCCCCTTGGTCCAAACCTGGAGTGTCAGGGTAGATCTGTCCGGGCGGAGAAGTGGGATGTGGTATGGGAGGTGCCTGGTCTAGAGATTGGTTGTAGTACAAGCAAGTGTGGCCAGACTAAGCTAGGACACTGGATCTGGGCCCTGGGCTGGATCTGGAGGGTTCCGAGGGGTCAGGCAGACTCACTTCACTAGACCCTGGAGAAGGTGTACACGATATGGCTGGGTGGAAAGTTTGGATCTTCAGCCTGCTTCCTCCTACAGCCTAGAACCACCTGCGTAGGGGCAGCACCCCCCACAGTGGGCTGGGCCCTCCCACATCAATCATTAATCAAGAAAATGCCCCTCAGCCCAACTTGGTGGGGGCATTTCCCCACTTGGGGTTCCCTTTTCCCAAATGACTCTAGCATGTTGACCAGAAACTATTTTACATTGACCAGCTTCTACGTTAATTCGCTTAATGACTTTGTCTGTCTCTAAAAGCCGTCTGTTTCTTGTCTTTCTCTCAATGGAAGAATAATCCTTAATTTTCATTATCTGATTCTTATACAGTGCTCAGGTAATATTCATCTTATAGAAGTCCTCCCTTTAAAACTGAAGTTCTTTTTTTGTTTGTTTGTTTTTTTGTTCTTTTGTTTTTCCGATACAGGGTTTCTCTGTGTAGCTTTGCTGGGTCCTTTCCTGGATCTCGCTCTGTAGACCAGGCTGGCCTCGAACTCACAGAAATCCGCCTGCCTCTGCCTCCCGAGTGCTAGGATTAAAGGCGTGCGCCACCACTGCCTGGCTAAAACTGAAGTTCTAAGCCGTCAGTGGTGGCATACACCCCAGACCTTGAGAGGCCGAGAGGAAGGAAGATCTCTGGGAGTTTAAGGCTAGCCTGGTCTACATACAGAGTGAATTCCAGGACAGCCAGAGCTACACAGAGAAACCCTGTCTGGAAAAACAAACAAACAAATAAACTGAAGTTCCAGTAATTTTAGGGTAAAGCATTTTAAAGAGTATTTTAAGAATTGGATAATTTCCTGGCCTACAAATGCTAATCTCATTAAAATGTCTGTTCTTCTTCAGCTGCTAACTTGAGAGCAAAGACTTTTTTTTCTTTCTTCTGGTTTTTCAAGAGAGGGTTTTGTGGCTGCGTTCCTGCTGAGCTGCACCTGGCCTGGCTCTGGAGGTACCCCCCCCCTCCGCCCCCAGCTCTAGTCCTTCCTCTGTTTAGCCACACCTTTTGTTTCTCTTACCTTTTGTTTCTCTTAT